ACAAGCCACAATTGGTTATGTCCGCTCCTCTGAAAATGGTACAGTATATTTGGGCATGTTCCCCATGAAATGTTGGGCATATCCCCAGGGTCACACCAAAATTTCAGCCATAATTTCAGATGTTACATCGAGGAATATGTTGAAATCCTCCCTAAATTGAAAAGCTCATGGAAGCTGCACCAGAATATTGGACGCATCCCCCACAAATGAAAAAGCGTTGAAGGGAAAACCCCCTTGCAATTTGCCTACCTAAACAGGGTACGGTCAGCAAGTCCTGCAAATGCTCCCGTACTCTAAATGGAACATGTCATGTTGAAACAAAGAATCAGAGATCGCTTAGGAGGCTGGAAGTGACAACGGCAGATGGACTTCAATGATATGTTTCATAAGATCAACCTCGCATGTTTTTGTCATGTTCTCTTGCAAATCTGTAAGGGGCTGGTTTCTCCAAGTCTGGCAGGCAACCAGAGTGGCAGTTCAACTTCGAAGCCCGGAACTGTCAGCTCCACAGGCACTGGCTGGAAACATGGGGAAACCAATGGTTTGGGTTTGGGATGCCCCAAATGTTGATAAAGACACCTGGATGAGAATGATTCTTTAAGCAAATAGCTTGAATGGCTGATTTTCCCCACGTGGAGTGCACTGAACTTGAAGCTTCTTGGCGTTCTTTGTAAATGTTTATATATGGGACTATGCGAAGTGTAGATGGATACAGTAGGCTCCAACTTCACTTGCTCTTCAGGCCACTAGCCTGAATGGCAATGTTCAGTAGACCCATCTTGGAAGAATTTTGGACAGTTTTATTTCAAAGTGGATGTAATGTTCTCGAAATTCCTGGAGTACAAAAAAAGATTTCAAAAACCGTTGATCAAATGTGGAATGGTCCGTTGGTTTCTTCAAGCTCACACGACCGTCGTGACCCTGGAATCTTGTGAGTTCTTGTTATAGAGAGCTACAGGTACCTTCCAGCAAGCAACCATGGCAATGGATATGTGTATGAAAGATGGAGGCATCTTCTGTTGCCATGTTTGATTCCCTGGGGGAACACTCAATCCTCTTCAGTCTCATGTTTGACAGTGGCTGGACCATCTGAGAATCCTTGGGCGCTGGTTGGAACCCTTCTATCAATCCTGGACAGACACAGTGCAACTAAGATTGAACACCCCTCAGAAACCATGGTGTTGTAGGGGACATATTTCGGACCATTTCAGGGGTGTTTAATCTTAGTAGGGTGAAGGGATTACAAGAAATTGATGGGTGGAAAAAATCCTGAAGAATCTCCTTATTGAACTCGTTGTCATTGCTCAATGTGACAAAGTGTGTCAAAAAAATGTTTTGCAAAATAGATTATTGATTGTAAATAGTAGCCCCTGAAAAGATAGAACCGTAAAATCCTAGCAACCTAGTCGTGAGCTACTTTTCTATCGTTTTGGGGGAGTACTATATTGGTCAAGAAATTCCTTGCGGCTTCATGGCTGTTCCATCTCCGGCATTGGCCTGGCTGCTCTTCCAATTTGTACGAGAATGGCGATGTTTTGCAGGGGCAAATTCTAAGTTTTCACAAGTAATAGTTCTACAATATATCTACCACAAATAACCCCCTATATATATAAGTTAGTTTTAACTCTGTATAGGCTGTATAGGGTTATAATATACACAAACATAATAACCCCATCTAACATTAATATATCGACCACAAATCCGAGTCAGGGGCCTAGACTAAGTTGGCTAACGTTGCGCCCCCTCCCTGCAACACGGTTCCACTTTCATGCCCCAATGACTTCAAGATGGTTGAGCCATACCCAGATCATCTCCATAAATCCCCATGATGTTCCCATCAAACCTGCCATGGAAAAAGGCTAAATCCACGATTTCTGAGACCATGGGAGACCCATTTCTGGAACATTGTTCGCATTTGATCCCCATAAAATGCCCGAATTCCCCCATGAATTCCATGCCATTACATCCAACATATGGGTTTGTCTGAAAATGTTGGGTATATTCCCAATGAAATAGCCATAAAAAATAGGGATAATGATCAGCAAAACCATTGGGTAAAAAGGGGTACACGACATTTTCAGACACACCCATTTTGATACCATGGGTATCCCGGTCTCCCCAGTCTCGATCGCATATCTGCTCCTGATATGTCCCCATAATTCCACCATGATTTCCCAATGGGGGAAACCTCGAAAAAACAGGAGATAAATTGCCCATCTTTGCCCACACCTCCCAATAGAATCCCGAAAGAATCACCATAGAATCATATAGAATCCCAAAAGAATCACCATAGAATCATATAGAATCCCGAAAGAATCACCATAGAATCATATAGAATCCCGAAAGAATCACCATAGAATCATATAGAATCCCGAAAGAATCACCATAGATTCATATAGAATATAGAATCCCGAAAGAATCACCATAGAATCATATAGAATCCCGAAAGAATCACCATAGAATCATATAGAATCCCGAAAGAATCACCATAGAATCATATAGAATCCCTAAAATCACCATAGAATCATATAGAATCCCGAAAGAATCACCATAGAATCATATAGAATCCCTCCCGAAAGAATCACCATAGAATCATATAGAATCCCGAAAGAATCACCATAGAATCATATAGAATCCCGAAAGAATCACCATAGAATCATATAGAATCCCGAAAGAATCACCATAGAATCATATAGAATCCCGAAAGAATCACCATAGAATCATATAGAATCCCGAAAGAATCACCATAGAATCATATAGAATCCCGAAAGAATCACCATAGAATCATATAGAATCCCTAAAATCACCATAGAATCATATAGAATCCCGAAGATAACCATAGACTCGATATAGAATCCCTAAAATCACCATAGAATCCCTAAAGAATCACCATAGAATCCCTCAATATGTCCATTTGCCCATAAAATGTGGCCAGTTCCAAATCACCATCGAACAGGTCGAGCGTCCCTGGCCGCGGACAGAGGTGGTGGGAAGGCCAGAAACACTGGGATTTGTTTTGGGAAAATGGGAGTTTTGAACTGCGAAAAATTAGAACCTTACACATCCCCCTTGGAATTTAGGTCCTGGAAAATGGTGCGTTTTAACCACCTGCTTTGTTTAGGGGTACCTACCCAATGTCAAGGCTTTCAATTTTATAGACGACCTTGGGGTATTCTATAGAGATTTCATGTTGAATACAGCACTGAGTACTAGTCAGCAGAGAGTCTTAGGGACTGCGATTCTATAGTGGGATATGTTCTCTTTGGATGTATGTCATGTTCTTCAATTCTATAGAGAAGTATTGGCAGAACAAAATGGAAACAAAATGAAACAAAATGAAACAGAGCAACTTTCAAGATCTTTCAAGCATTTTTCACCAGTCTATAAAATCGAAGAGGTTGACAGTGAACACTTGGAGCCTTTGAGCTCTATAAATTTGGGAATGCATAAGGTTAGGCAAGGGCAACTGGAGCATTCAGGTCAGCTGTCAATGAATGAGACTTGGGGAGCCTGATTTTATAGAAGGCCAACTAACCCCCCAACCAAAAAAAGGCTCTACGAGAGTGACTTGGCGGCCGCTATTCTATAGAGAATGATGCTCATAAACGACCTCGGTGACATCGTTTCTATAATACCTTGGGGTCTCTGATTCTATAGATGCATTTTCAGAAAGAGGGTCAGCGTCTCCAGAATTATCACTATAAAATTGTCAACACCAACACTCTCACTTAATTCAAAGGGGGATCCTTACACCACGTTTTACCATTCAAAAGTTGGAACTTTACCATATTTTATCATTCAAAAGTTGATTAAGTTTGAACTTTACCATATTTTATCATTCAAAAATTAGATTTGTTAGGAAAAAAAACTGCCATTTGACCATTGAACATGGGGATTGCCGGACCAAACATGCGGAGTCGACGCTCAGAAGAACGGGGATGTACAACCATAGAACATGTGGATTGTATGGGATACTACTACCACAGTTTTGAACCAGAAAACGGCCAAAGATGGGGATGCAACAAACAAGGAGATATGCAGTAGATATAGCAGTCATAGGGCTTCCACCTCTCCAGCAAGAATGAGGCTGTTGCCATCGGAAATGGGGGATATAGTATATAGAAGAAACAGGAGTAGGGTTGCAAGTGGGTAAAGGAATTGGAATGTGTGTGTGTGTCCTGCAGTAGACCTACTGTAGGACATGGTTGTTTTGCACAGAAATGACATTCAAGCAGATTCAAGCAACAATGTTTTGCAAAGGATATTCAAGCAACAATATTTTAGAGCAACCAGCCAGCATGTTGGTTGGCTAAGAGAGCCTGTGTCGCAATCAGCCAAGACTGCTTTTAATTGATGGTCTGGAAAATATTGATATTTGAATATATTTGATTCTGTAAGTACCACAGCGAGCTTCAAGTTTGAGCTGTGGCTGTGATGCATAGGTGCAAGCAACACGGGACAAATAATTAAATACTCTGCACCTTCTGGTTCAAGCTTGATGAAAAACCTAGCCCGGAACCGACCGCTGAATACAAGCGAACAACTTAAATTCGGTACCAAAAGGGAAACCGAAAACGGTCAGCAAGGGAAGCATTAAAATGGTTGTCCTCACTTGGGACAAAGAGGGCAGAGATGATCCAACATCCGAGACCATAGCTGGTTTCCTCAAGATCTTTGGTTCAGATATGGACCATGATGCCGTGGAAATTGTGAGTTCAATAGAAGACAAAGGAGAATTGATGAACCAACAATAGAAAATTGTGTCATGTTTGCAGTACAATTCACAGTTGGTGAAAATTGAGTATAGTCAACAAGTGTTAACCACCAATCATATCTGGTTGGTGGTTTGGAACATTTTTTATTTTACATAATATATAAGATAATCCTTCCCATTGACTAATATTTTTCAAATGGTTAAAACCACCAACCAGATATCCATTATCCTATCCAGGAAAATTGGGACAATCTGATGGATTGACATCGAGACCAATCCTGGCGCCATGGCTTTGCGGCCCTGCTTATCGCAGCAGTTGACCCACGGCTTGGCACCCTCCCTTGACTGGAAACCGTCGAGGACACCCAAGAAAAGGAGGTTCCAAGTTATAATCCACGCGCAGACAAGTTATGTTAATGTTGTCTAAGTGATGTGTATATTTATTGTGATTTAATATGATGTATGATGTTATCTGAAATGTTGATTTACTATTACTATGATGTACGCATAATTACTAGCTGTGAATTACTATCTCATCCCTCTTTGATGCATTTGTGCAGTATACAACAACATCATCATGGTTGCATCTAATCTATGTACAAAAACGTGTGACGAGTTGGCTTCAGCATCCGTTGAGATCTATCTGAGCAGTGACCAAAACCCTAGCTGATTGGTTAGTACAGGGGGTTGTTGTGGGTTATATAACCTGAATACATCTTATCGGAATCCTTATTGAACAAAGAGTTCTTTAGGGATGAGATTGCAGGAGACTCACAGCGAGTGCAATAAAGCCGAGACATGCAGCGGCTTGGAACAGTAAAACTTGTGATGTGAGATGATAGGGGGACATAGTTGGGATGATATAAGCCACAAAGATATACCGGAGATTTTAAAGATGCTATGGCTCAAAACCAATGGTTTTCAATTAAGGGTGGATGAACAAAGGATGAACATCCATGAGCACCAACGTCACCAACGTCACCAACTAATTTGACGTAAAGACCAGGATATTTGGGTTTTGATCCCAGGATGCTTGGCAGAATTTCCAAATATCCTGTGGAGTTGTGTGGGCAGGATGTCCAAATCGGTGGCTGTTACCACATGGTTTCGAAATGTTTCGATTTCCAAAAACAGAGGGCTTGAAATCAAAGGGCTTAAATTCATCATCCAGAATTGTTCACCAGGTCAGAAGTGTACGAAGAAAGGTGTGATACACAGCGCGGCCTAAAGCCTCTGAGCTAAATAGATTAGCATCCAATGCATTCAAATCCATCATTTTATGTAGCATGGTTGATCACGCTCCACACCAGCCATACACTTGTTTGATCTTGTTTGTATGTTTCGAATTGTTTCGATCATTTTCAATCTTCAGTTCAATCCCCCAATTTTCAATGGTTCCCCATTTTTGCCAGTTCAATCCCCAGATTTGTTGCTGAAATCCCAGGCTTACCCTTAATTATATATCCTCATTTCATACATATCTACATTTCATGGTGAAAACCTGTGGAAAACGGCAGTTTCATGGTAAATTCTCAGGTTTTCACCATGAAAAAAACCTTAAATCCCAGTCATCTCCGAGGTTCGACCGCTTCCCTCAGCCGTCACCGCCGTCACCGCCCTGGCGGCCACGGCCGCGCCGGCCGCGGTGTGGCACGCGGAGCGACGCCGGGAGATGCTGCGGCGGCATCCGGAGCTGCAGCGGCTGCGGGGAGCGGATGGACGGAGCCTGCCGCCACGCGGAAGAACTCGGGAAACAAATCGGATGGGAAGATGTTTGATGATTTTTGATGTTTTTTGATGATTTTTGATGATTTTTGTCTCTGGGAAGATCATGATGATCATGGAAGTTTCATGAAGTTTCAACGGGAATAGAACTCTTCCAAATGTGATGTTTAACATGGTACAGTATTTGTTCAAAATACGATGTTTGACTTAGTATGTCATTTTAGTATTTGACAAATGCGAAGTTAAGCTTCAACATTGAAGACTAGGGTATGTGTGTATGTATGTATATATATATATACACGTGTATATATATATATAATTATATATATATACAGTATACATGTAATATATGTATATTTAAATACCGATAACAATGGAGGATCATCTCACGAATCGTCTTAGCTGTTTAGTAAACCTGGTGATCATAAGTCCCCGATTCCTCAAAAAAAAATGAAGAAGGTAGGTTCTAAAAGGGTGACTATAAATATATATATATATGTAACATGTAGATATATATATATGCATCATTTTTTTACTACTGTCAGAATTTTGCAATGATTTACCATTATGTTCCCAAAATCATCAGCCACAAAGTGGGATTGGAAAGATGCGGGTTGATGTATTGCCAAATTTGACAAAAAAATGTATTTGTCCAATATGGAAACCAAAATCATCAGCCGTCAAGGGTGGTTAGGCAGGAGCGAATTTGCCTCATCTACCCTGGTAAAGTATGCTAAACATGTAACTATATGTTGATATACCGTAAATTCATAACGTGCCATGATTTACCATAAATGTGCATGGCAAGCAGTGGCAAACGATGACAAATAATGTTCAGTATGTTATGGTACATTTACGATGAAATGATTGTAATTCATTGGGGTGCCTAGAATGCGGAACCCCAAAACTGTAGCGAAAGAAATGGTGGGATTTTACCACGGTATACAGCGGTATAAATATGTATGTATTATATATATATATATACGTGGTTTTACCATGAATTTACCTTCATTGGCTGATGTTTGGGTGAATTAAATATCTCACATCGTGTCTTTATTTTCCAAGTAAAATGACATGGTTAGTGGAAGAACGCTCACACGCATCATTTGGGTTTGTCTGAACATGATTGAACAATCTTGAAATATTGAACAAAACAACGAAACAAAGCCCAGTAGTGTTTAAAATTTGATGGGAATGTGACCCTACTGTCCGATATTTTCCGATCTTTCCCCACGAGTCCTCCATGTTTGGGCGCCAGTACCAAAGCTTAGTAGCGCATCCGAATGGGTTCGAAAATCGGCAATGTGTATTAGATGAGTATTTGTAGTTCAATGGTGGTTCAATGGTGGTTGAATCATGCCTTCAACTGAACAGTTCAGGTTGGTGAATCCTGAGTCGACATCCATATGATCAACACAGCTTTATTTGTTCGGGGTTGGTTGTCATTCCAAATAAATTGTCCAGAGTTCCAGATGTTATTCATCCAAACGATCAAGCACTTCTTCCAAAAGTTTTTGTTTGATAAATGAGGCTTTTGATCTTGGCCAACGCACTCCAACTGGGCCTTGCCATCTTTGCTGGGCAGCAGTTGCAGCAAAGCCCAGAGGCCCGGTTGGAAGATGGGGGATGAAACCAATTTGATGGTTACTAGTAGCTAATGATAATCAATCATAGTTAATTAATAGTAGTCAATAGTGATATTAATATAGTGGTTGATGATGGTTAATAGTGGTAACCAGTGTATGTCTTAGAATGGGGGATCCCCAAGTCACCATGGTTGTTGAAATACTAAGTCATGGTCCAATGACTTGGATGATTTGGGGTTACCCCCATTTTAGAAAACCACCATATGTGGGTGTTGAAATGGTTAAGCATGTGAAAAGTGGAATATCAAATATATGTTGGTGTCCCCCAATCATTTTAGCTAATCGTTCGAAAATTCCAAGTTCTATAATTCACTTCGAAGATTGGAGATTTACCGTAACCATTTGAACATTGGAATAGTATCCATGTTTTAAGAATGAAGGGAAGTTATTGTTTCAAAGTTTGAAGCTAGCCACCTTGAAAAGAATTCATATGACAAGCCGGATATGAACTTGCTCCAATATGGGCCAATACTAGTGTCCCACATGATTGCTTGTGTTTTTTTGGGGGAAAAATAAGAGCCACTAATTGGGGGGACCATACATGTATAACTTAGTGTGACTGCTGTGGTTGAGTGGTTTCGATGGGATGGGTTGAATCCATCAGCTTATTGGAGATGGGAAATGATGGGAAAACTGTCAGAAGGATGAACCCAAAAAAACCAAACGGACATCAAGAAAAAGCCACATTTACATCCTGAAGACAGCGCGGCGAAATCAGAAATAGGTAATACTACCTGCCAAGTAGGGAATAAAGCTAAAGAAACCGCTTGTTTGTGGATATCTATTCGGAAAGTTTTTTTGGGGTTGGAACATGCGTTTTGTTCCAGCCCATGAAAAATCTCAGAAGCAGGGCTGCGTGTAAATCTGCTTGGTCGCTTCGCTTTTTCAAAGCGTCCATCCATAGTGAGAAATGGGTATGAGTCAAAATTAAAGACCTGGGGTGCCACAGATGTTAGTCACTAATTGTTAGTCCATTTTTAGTATTACCCATCTATTTATAGAGGTCCCCAAATTGAGCCAGGACCAAAATCGATGGATTTTTCTTTAGATTGATAGTTTTCATGCTCAACCACCAACCAGAAAGGCCGGAACCATCCTGGCTGTGCTGTTGCTCGCAGTTGGCGTGGGTGGTACACTGTCTTTGACACTTGGCCCAGTCAGAAATTGGGTATGGGTCAAAATTGGGTGGCCCTAAAGATAGATGGTCCTACAGACGGTTAATACATGTTAAACCACACATTCCAGTCGTAAGACTCCCCTGACTCTTAAATTTCGACCCAGGGACCCATGTATCATGATCTTTGTTGAACCCATGAAGATGATGTGTTCAATGTATTCTTCATCTGAAAAGTGAGCACTTTTTTTTCATCTTAACACCAAGGATTTGTTGCTTTGAAGCCATGCAAATGATGTTTAACCTATGGGTGAAATGGGGATTCACCCTGAAACTTGAAGGAGATTGGCATGCTTTTGGGTCGCAGGCTGCAGCTGGCATTTGGGAACTGTAGTCATTGAAGTTGAGATACGTAAATGTGTATATAGATGATTGTCGATGCACATATTTACATGTGCTCCATATTTTTATATTTTTTCTACATATATATATATGTAAACAGTATATATATACACTGTATGCCTTTAATCTATATATATACACAATTATATACATGCATTACATAAAATCATCCTTATCTCACATGGAAAAACTCACGGATAGATCAACTGCTCCAGAGCAGCTCTGAGCCGCGGCCTTTTGAGGTGGTCCTTTAGCATTTTGCACGACCTGCTGCATGGCACCTGTGTCAAGGTGGACCGCAGCACGCGGGAGAACTTGTTGCCACCTGGCGATGGCGGCTGGAAACCAGGGGTTTCAGATGGTGTTTTTCTTGTCAATGCCATGAAAATCTATAAAATACAAAGAGCTACCATTTGGGGAGGATTTTTCGGGGAAACCGTTGATGTTGATCTTGGGGATGGTTTATGGCATTGGGCAAAAAACACATGAAACATCATGAAACCAAGCAGTTGTGCAGCTAAACCCATTTTTTGTGGTTGGTTCAGAAGGTTTTAAAAAGACAACTATCCAATATATTGGAGATGATATCATGGATAATGAAAACTGACTCATGAGACTGCAATGATTAAGCGAACAATACAACAGAATGACAGAGGGTTTTGGGCACTGCTCAGCTAGTGCTATGATGTGATAGTGTATGTTACAGCAATGTAGATGATCTATAGATCGCATGTCATAAATCACCCATATCAGATGTTCATTTGTGTAATGTAATCCCAATATCATGACATGAAATGTTATCCCAAATACTACATGTCAGATGTTCATTTGTTTATCGCAATTGGGTTGAGTTTGAGCTGGGAGAGAAGTGTCAATTTACCCTGGTTTGCCGGGGTGGATCCTTGCGGCAATGATACTTGGAGACCTTAACATGGGCCATTGGTCAAAGGGTGAAGAAACTAGGACCATGAATAAAACTGGATGTGCCTGAATATACGCTATCGGTATACCTCAAATGGTCATTTTAAGAGGGAAACGTTTTTTGATGTATCAGTGGATTGAGGGGTGTTCCATGGTTTTCCCTACAATCTTCAGACAAACCTAAGTTCAAGCATACTTCATGTCACTCCTCTTGTGGTTGCTCAGGTTTTGGCTTAGCTTTCCCACCATCTTCGGTTATCATTTGTACCTGCAGAGGCCTTAGCTTCGTGTCAGGGGAAGCTGAGATTCCCTTTATACGTCTTTCCCGTATTATGGGTGTGTTCATAATGTGGGGATACTCCAAGTTGTGGCCATTCCAACAGGGAATCTGATGAAATATGATGATGATTAAGCAGTGGATTTGGGTTGTGATGATTAATTATATATGCCCCAGCGGTTTTCTATTTTTGGACCCAAAGAGCAATCCCATGTAATCCTACTTGCCAAAGCAAGCAAACAGTCTGAGGGCAGCAATAGATCGCAAGGTGGAGGACTCCACAGAATGTCTATGAGAGGTGTAATCCCATGTCCCTAACATGAACCCCCCAAAAGCCATGGTTTAGTAGGGATTGGGAACCATATTTGGAATTATAGAATGGGGGGGTTTAATATGAACAGGGGATGGGATTACCTAACGAACTTAATGAGATTTATATCATGGGTTTTTTTACCAACAGATATGGTGATTTTATGGTGACTGGTGACTTAATAGGATTGAAACTTGTTCCTGTCATCTTTTCTTTGTTGGTTCCATACCCCGTAGAAATTCAGTGGTGCTCCAGGCTTCAGCGGATGGAATCAATCCCAGTTTCCAGAAATTGAGCGCCCCGTGTTTTACTTGGTTTTGGGGTACAAGATTTACACAAGCTGGGTGAAAGATTGGTGAAAGGTTCGACACTAAGCCATACTAAGCCATACTAAGCCATACTAAGCCATACTAAGCCATATACAAGCTCCTCAAAATCAACTCTTGGATCTAAGGTTCGCCAAGTGTTTCGGATGTTCCGGGTTGTTTTCCCACTCAATGGATCCAAATGGTACCATCCATTGCATCAAAATTACATATCTGGTGGGTAGTAATTTTTACTAAATTCCCCAGCTACATAAATTGGAGCAATACATGGTTTGTCATTCACTTTTGATTCTTAGAGATGTGCATAGCTATCATAGCCCACTTTATAAATGGGCACATCCACCCCACTGTGTGAATATCCCGGATCCCGTGTTCACATCGCCGTCAGGGGCCACTTGTCACATCACAAGAACTTGGGGCGGGCATCGATGGGCCAACTCTTTGACTCCCAACGGCTGGAGTTTGAGGCTCTGGTGTCAGAGTTGCAACATGCTATTATAATCTATTATATATATATATATGTGTGTTTATATATTTATGTACACAGTTTTTATGTGTATATATATATATGTGTGTGTGTGTGTGTTACGTGTATATATCTACATATAATTATATGTATATATATATTATTGTGTTATGTATGCATAGATATATGTGGTATGTAGTATGTAATGATAATGGTAATGCTACTGGTAATGGCACTGTTAATGTTAATGTAAATGTAAATGTGATGTAATGTCATGAATGTATGCATGCATGTGTATATAGGGAGTAACCCCCAATAGATAGAACACGTTTCATTTACTGCCATTTTACACTCAACTTTGTTTTTCTGCCTGTTTTGCGGTTATATCCATGTCTGCACCAAATGGAGTGGGAGCGACGCTGATGGGATGAGGGAACCAAGGTTGTGCCTTGGGTGGATCCCCAAGAGGCTTTAAGGCACAGCCCATGGCTGCATCCCCTGTACTCCAAGTCCAAGTGAACTGAATAGCAGAAGGCCAGACGTTGCCGGTCTTGGCCTTTTTTTGGCGATGTGTTCCCAACTTTGTACTTTTGACATGT